GACGATGAATTGCGTCGGGCTGCGTCGTACGACGCTGTCAGAGTTGGCCTTCAGTCAGCATAAATTATTAAGACCTGAAAATATTGGTTTATCAGCCTCACCCGTGTCATGAGAGGACATACTTCCATAGTAGGTGTTGAATCAAACCATGGAAATTTTGGTAGGCCACACATGAATGCACCCCTAATTCTGTTAAACATTAGTTGCCAATTCACGAATTAATTTAGATTTGACATGTAACATTGGTGAGAGTTTGCAAAACAGGTAGGAAGCTGCTCAGGAAAAATTATTAAGTGTCTTTCCATGATGTACACATTCGAAAGCTTTGTCCAGATTATTTAATTTTCTAAAAAAACTCCTGTGTGCCCATATATAGTCATAATATGCCTATATGGTCATGATATGATGTCATCATGACCTTATTTAGGCCATGGAGGAAAGAAAATTTTCTTTCCTCCATGTTTAGGCATATATGTTTTTGTCAAATAAAACTTAATAGTCTGGACAGGGCTAGATAGATAGGATAGATAGGACGTGTCTAGCCTATATGATATTATGTGCTGAGTATTAGACACTCCATGGGGACGGAGAGCTCAGAGTCTTTACATTTTAACATAATGAAGGAATGGTGGCTAATTTATGACGTCTGCTATTGAGAAATAATGCTTTTAGAAAAAAAAACCGTGGAGTGTAGACCTAGATCAAACCCGATATCACGCGAATGTAAATCGAGCACGGTAACGCCGAGTTACAGGTGTCCATTCAATGTAAAATTCAGTGCATAAACGCGTACACAGTGGTAGTAGCTGACTGACATTGTTGATCGATTATCAATAGAGACTTCGTTCAGCTCGATGGCCACTCAAAAACTACTCAATTCTCAATGGTCACTCGATTTGTAGCATTAGCAGTGGACAACCAGCAATCGAATTTTTGCGGAAAGTGAATCCATTGGCGTGGCTCTGGCGAACTTAATTGTCATCTTAGTCAACCAAAACAGATATCATTGAAATGTATTTAGTTAAGTTTATCCTTGTATCTTAACATTGGTGTATAATAGGTCTCTATATTTCATCTGGCCTATAGAAAAAAATATAATTTTTGGTCTATGCTATCTAGATGACGATACGAGGTTTGCTTAGGGCTATCATCACCTTAGGATTTGCATGTCGTAGGCCTAGAGAAATTTTGAAATAAGCATATTTAAAGTAATGCATATTTTGTTAAAAGATGATACGGAAAAATACCCGAGCCTAATTTTGATTCAGAGCATTTTGTATTCGTTGTAGGCCTACTGTATACATGTACAAGGATTGCATTCAATGAAACTTGGTGTTAAATTAGGTAAAGATTAACATCGTTGCAATTTTGATTTGTGATGCCGGTCTCATCCTGATGTTGGTTTGTTATCCATCGTAAACAAAAATCAAACATTAATTGTTAAGCCTAAAATTTTGTGTAGGCAGCTAATTTGAAGTTTGTAACAGTAATTACTTTGTTGTTTTCCATCCTTCTTCAAAGAAACTCTTGATATACGGTATATATTTTTTAAAGATGCACTGTCTCTTCATGAGCTAAACAATATTTTATAATTCGGAAAAAATGAAAAATGTCGATAAATCAGCGATTTTTTTGCTCGATCTATTTTTGGTTGGCAGTTAATTTAACTTACATGATCCCTTAAATGAGCTATTCAAAATTGTCATCAAATCTTTCTGGTATTTTCCATTTTTTTAGGTAGACACTATACTGGTTGTTTTACAAGCCAAATATAAACTCATACCTATAGGCCTATACATGTACACAGTGCAAAAACAGAAATAACACCGTGAGCTGTTGTATGCAGCGCCAGCCTCATTTACATCTGGGGCGCTCGCTTAAAATGTCCTTTTACCTTTTTGCAATTACTGTTTTAAAACTCGAGGGTGTACTCAACTGTATTAGAACTCCACATTCTGATCAAACATCGATATGACTAATTTAATGGTTATTTTAATTGCGTCGTATATTAATTCGAATTCTTTAACTACGTTGTCTTTTATATGAAACCACTGGTAAGTAACGTATAAAGGGCATCTCCGTTCTGTGCTTAAGTTTTATAGCTAGTCTCTGTGGCGATTCGAAATTATTTTTTTTGTATAATATGGTATTCTGAACAATGATTAGTTGTAATGAATACGAAAACATGCAATGGCGGGCAGTCTATTTCTCTGAACGGTGTGAATATCTCTTTTTTAAAATGTTCGGGCTGTTACTGCGATTGGTTCTTTTAGGCGACGATATTACCAGGTTTGCCTACTAGTCGAGCCACCATAAAATCACCATCACAACAGTCATCACCACGATTCATACATACACATATTGATATCATTATACGATATAGGATTAATGTATCTCAATATGCTATTTTAACATTTCATGACCCTACAAGTACATAATCATCAAAGAAAGGCAAATACAGTGTTCGAATAAAGGACATAATAATACATCGTGTAGCATTGCTCTCAACGAATGTAGTCCTATAAAAAAATGAAAGAAATTGTGTAATAATATGCCTCTAATGGGATTCGAATCTGCGACCTCTCGCTGTCAAGGCGAGCGCCATAACCATTAGAACACAAATTCGTGGTTGAACAGATTACCGCCAGATACACTCTATTACACAATAGGTATATATACACACACACACACACACACACACACACACACACACAAACACACACACACATATATATATATATATATATATA